ATATAATATATGCTAGCTTAGGAACCATACGTTTATTATACAGATACAGATATAATATATGCTAGCTTAGGAACCATACGTTTATTATACAGATACAGATATAATATATGCTAGCTTAGGAACCATACGTTTATTATACAGATACAGATAAAATATATGCTAGCTTAGGAACCATACGTTTACTATACAGATACAGATTAATATATGCTAGCTTAGGAACCATACGTTTATTATACAGATACAGATATAATATATGCTAGCTTAGGAACCAAGCTTTGTCTGGAAGGCAAGTTTTCCCTGTCAAAAGTCAACTAATTCATTCCATTTAGAATTGTAAATCCAAACTAAGATCATTCCCGTGCATGGTTCTTGAGTTATGACTGGACATAAAAACAAACAGACAGATATGACTACTTTATATACTTTTGACTTTTATACAAGAAAGTTCAATAAAGTTTTTTACAAATTTTCAAATTTAAGTTTGCTTAATACTAATTGTCATAACTTTTGCGAATTTCGTAAATTGCAATAGAAGGACGAACATAATTGTTTATTCAAATCTCATAGTTTTTAGGTCTCTCTGTACATACTTACATGCATGCAGGCATACATGAATAATTTCCTATGAAAGTATAAAGGTTTAAAGGTTTACTCCCTTTTCTACAAATCCTTCTTCTTATTCCAGTTACATATTTATATACGCTTCTCTAAACTGCAATTCAATATATATTCTAGTTACATATATATACGCTTCTCTAAACTGTAATTCAATATATATATATATATATATACGCTTCTCTAAACTGTAATTCAATATATATATATACGCTTCTCTAAACTGTAATTCAATATATATATNACTCCCTTGTCCTACTAACTTGTCCTACTCCCTTGTCCTACTAACTTGTCCTACTCCCTTGTCCTACTAACTTGTCCTACTCCCTTGTCCTACTAACTTGTCCTACTCCCTTGTCCTACTAACTTGTCCTACTCCCTTGTCCTACTAACTTGTCCTACTCCCTTGTCCTACTAACTTGTCCTACTCCCTTGTCCTACTAACTTGTCCTACTCCCTTGTCCTACTAACTTTTCCTACTCCCTTGTCCTACTAACTTTTCCTACTCCCTTGTCCTACTAACTTGTCCTACTCCCTTGTCCTACTAACTTGTCCTACTCCCTTGTCCTACTAACTTTTCCTACTCCCTTGTCCTACTAACCTGTCCTACTTTGTTCCTCTTCCTTGTCATATACTACTGTAAACTTCCTCAAATCTATTTATTATAGAATAAAATACTAATATCAAAATAATTATTGCAAAACTAATATTAAAATAATGATTGCAAAACCCTTTTATGTTAGAAGTTAGATTTCAAACATGGCAAACAATCTTATTTTGAGAATACAATTAAATAAACTAAAACTACGCAGTTAATGTACAAGGTACGCCGGAAACTTACATGCAAGTCTTATTGTTTCATTCGCACAGCATCTAATCTCAAAATCAGAATTTTGAGATTTTAGATTTCAGAAACTATAACGTGAAATTCTACCGATAAAGTTAACATTTTATTTTAAGAACCAGGTTAAAATTAATTAAATAAACAAGAAATTTTTTTTGACACTCTGTCTTGATTTTTTTTCATTGCACCCTGTTTTGCAAATGACGCAACAATGGCGGACTAGTTGGATATTTGAACTGGAGTGATGGAGCTAAATACCATGGTTGGATAGTTGCAGGGAAATATATAAAATATAGTCATTCATTTATTTATTCATTATTGTTCCAGAGTATTTGAACAAATAATTCATTGTGTTGATTAAAATTTAAACAAGTTGTTCATTTGAAATGATTTTAGTTATTCATTATTTAGAGAATAAATCTTTTTTTAAATTCCAAATTTAGTTTATTATAGTGCAGATTTTTATTTGAAAATTTAAATAAAATCAAATATCTATTTCAGTGAAATGTTTAAATAATTTTAAAGATTAAACACAGTTTTTTTGAATCTTTAAATCCACAGTAAAAAATAAACTGAGTTTTAGCCCCAGCTTAAACTTTCTGATTTCTTTATTTTCGCAACCAGATGATATAATAAACCTTTAATATTTAAAACGTTAACTTTTTGATCCGAAGTCATAGTATGAAATATCAAAGGTCTACGACATAACGATGCAAAAATTCAAGAGATTTTTTAACAAATTTTATAATATAATTGAATAGCGCATTAATTCTTTATATTGATGCGTTGCAAGTATAAACAATGCGCTTAACAGTTCTCTTTATACAAAAGTTAATTTACATATTCATAATATTTCTCTAATTTTTCACATAAATTTGAAATATATTCTCCACAGTTTTCCTAGATTAATATCAAACTATATCTTAATATAAAATATCTATCTTTTATCTAAAAATGGAATAATTTACATCTGATTAAAATGGTTCACAGCTCCCTGGGTTAACTGGGTTAATAAGGGAGCCAACAAAATATTTTCAAAACATCATTTTCTTATAAACATTTTTTGGATAATATCGACAAATTTTGAATTTTTTTTGGGAGTTTTTTTTTGTGGATGTCTCTTTTAATGTTGAGTATCTGCCTGGCTTCAAGCTATGTATGAGGTAGACAGGCCGTATTTGCCAAGGCCCCAGGGACCCATGTCTTCTTATCCTAGCATCTAGGAATATAAAGGAAACATTAAAATGAAATAATGAAAAAATTACAAGTCAGCCAGCCTTCATTTATCACTTAATTATTCAAACCAAACTCCTGTTTCAGCCTTGCCCNGGAATTTTCTCCATAGCTCTTCCATAAGAGGAGTTTTCAGTCTTGCATGCAATTCACGGGGAGCCGTAGTACATTTGAATTTCCGAGCCGGGAAACAAGAGGATTAGTTTTAGGGAAGTAAATGATACATGATTATGATTCTTTACCAGAAATTTTAATCTGCTGTTTTTATGACAAAATTATTTTTTTATAGTCATAAAGAAACACTTATCAATGATAAAGAATATAATGATAATGCTAATAACATAAATATATACAGCTTAAAAGGTTTAGCTTAAAATAGGGGCTTTATTTTCTTTCATTTTAGATCGTGTTACTACTTTTATAACAAAAATAAATATTAGAATAAATAAATATTCATAGAAAGAACATGAGTAAGATATTTTCTGGTTATGTTATCCTACCTAAACTAAACAACATCAGTAAGATATTTTCTGGTTATGTTATCCTACCTAAATTCAAGAAAACTAAATTGAAATTGCATTTAGGACAAATATAGGTTAGATTACGACGAAGTAATTTTTCCAATTCTTTTATCATTTTTGAAATCTAGAAAGCAAATATTTTAAAATTGTGTTATGTAGTTAATGATATGTGCACTAAAGTGCATCAAGGGTTTATATAGACCTTGGATACAGTTATATCAGATATATATATATATATAATACTCCCAATGTAAGAATGCAGGGTGGGAGTAAAGTAAGAGTAGACTATAGGAAACACCCAGAGAAAGCCTATATACCCTGAACCCACCCATGATATACCCTGAGTAACCTTGAACCTGAGACATCCACCCAGATTGAGAAAAAAATCCGGAAAACATTGCAAGATGATTCCTAAAGACAAAATTAGCAAGGAAAAGTTGACATTATTATGATTCATTGATTGGTTGTTAGTGGACCAATGAGAGCCCGAGGTTGGAGCACGTAACGGCGCGCGTATAGAGAGGCGGGAGTGAAGGGAAACCTGGCTTAGATCATTCCTCAGTGTCTCCTCAGCTACCTAACTTACTGGACAACACAGTGAACACAAACAAACAAACCCGCAACAATGTGGTTGAACCCAGACGCCCCTGTAGCTCCGTACTCTGGGTGTATCCCTGAGACTGGATATTCTTACAACACCCAACCTTCTCCAGCCTATACTCCACCCCTGGATATACATTCTAGATATTCTCCTCCACTCTACAACCAGTACTATGCTCAGAACCAATCTTATCTTCCTCCTGTACCCAGTCTAGTACCCGGAGAAGAGTTTCAATTCCATCCTACAGATTCAGTTTATCCATCTCAACCTACACCTTCATATTCTTCTCATTATCCTTCCAATCTAGCTTCACAATATCCCAATACAGGTTCTCTCAGTGGATCAGAAGCACCTGGATACGTTCTTCCATCTCCTTCTCCGTCATTCCCCTCTGATACACCATCTCCAGGTTCTGGCTGTACAGAGAGAAGTCCAACCCATGTAACTGATCTAGATAGATACAACTATACATATCCATACATGGGAGAGGATACAGGATACTATGGATACAATAATATCAAGGAGGAGCCTAGTACAGTATACATGTATGGATATTCTCAACCCCCTGTATCCAGTATATCAAGTACAGGTCCAACTAACTATCTTGGATTAGATCTAAGTTTATATTCTCCGGAATCTGATCAACCCAAGAAGAGAAGAAGAAGAACAGTAAAGAGAACTCCAGTTATCCATACTTGTCCTCAACAGGGGTGTTCTAAAGTTTATAACAAAGCATCTCATATGAAAGCTCACATGAGAACCCATACTGGAGAGAAACCGTATCTATGTACATGGCAGGGTTGTGGATGGAAGTTCTCCAGGTCTGATGAACTAGGGAGACATATGAGAAAACATACCGGGATCCGTCCTTATAAATGTAATATGTGTGAACGTGCATTTGCAAGATCAGATCACCTTGCTCTCCATATAAAAAAACACTTGGAGTAAATAAAGACTTATCGTTTGACTTATGATGAAAGAAAATGCTTCAACTTAAACCCAATATTGGAGAATTTATCCTACATTTCCTCCAAACCGGAGAAGGAGAAACCTGTGATTCTAAAAGAAGAGAAGAACGAGAGAGAAATAATACTCTTTCAAAACTTTATCACGAACTATGTAAGGTTGGACCAAACCTGTGAAAAATGTAGATGTAAGATGGGACTTTCTCTGAGCTCAAAACCTCTCTCTCTCTCTCGACTCAACCATATTCAAATCTTCTTTGGTTGAATCTCACTCCAAACCTCTAGTCTTTCAATGTTTACATTTAGTTGTTTTATTTTTACATATTATTTTGATATTATTGCACCTTTAATAAATTTGATCTCGCTACTTTGTTTGTATTTTGCTTAAAGTGTTGGCACTAAAAATAAAATGGAGTTTGGCAGAAATAGTCACAAGTTAGATTGATCTATAATAAAGAGAAACGATTAAGAAAACTTTCTTTTGTGAAACTAAAACTTCGAAATAAAAGAAAAAGTTAAAAATGAACTGAGTTCTTGCCACAAACTCAATTTCTATAATTCCTATATTCGTAGTTTGAAATTTCTTAGGTCTTGGTGACAAAACCCAATTACAAGTTTACAGGGGTAGAAATATAATAAGTTAGAAAGAAAGATAAAGAAACATATGCAGTAGGAGATAATTTTTACATTCATCTTGCCTCGGCAAAGACAGACAATTAAAAAAACGGAATAGATAAAATAGAAGGTATCAAAATGTACTTAGAAGTTGTAAGTAACAAAGGGATTTAGATTAAAGAGAAAATTTTAAATCATATTTGAAATTTAATGTAGTCTTAGAAATATTGACAAAAAACGCCTGAAAGACAACTCGAGATACATAAATGAATTGATAAATAGATATAGATGAACAGATAGACTAAACTAATGGTTTCAAACTGAATGAATTGCATGATATTGATAGGAAGATATATTGATTGATAAATAAATATATATATATTTAGATAAAATACAAAGATAGATGGAAAATTTATTCAAACCTAATATACAATTTTACTCTTGAGATAAAGAGGGTTACCCTCAAAGGATGAGAATTTAAAGACCCTTAAAAATGGTTAAACTAAACTGAATGAATTGCATGATATTGATAGGAAGATATATTGATTGATAAATAAATATATATATATATTTAGATAAAATACAAAGATAGATGGAAACAGATAAAGAAGTTTTATTTACATTAGATAAAATATAAGACAAACACATACAGTAAAACCCAAAAAAATTGAAAAAACAAAAACATTATTTTATAACCTGCTAAATCAAATTATTCAAAAGAATTTAAATTTCTTGATTTAAAGGGAATAAAAAAAGAGAAAACTTAATAAAAGATAAGAGTCTAAAATACCAAAGGTTTGTCAAATTAATTCCTATTGTGTATTAATAGCTCATTAAAATTAATGATTTTGTAAGATTTGACAATTTAAAATGTTCATATCTTGTCATCACTTTTTTTATTGTCACAAGTTTTGATTGGACTTAAATATTCTTAAGATCTGCGTAGAATGTCTACTAAACCATGAGAGTCGAGTTCCTATTGGAGGATTTCCGCCTGGCTCTGCCGCTATTGGTTAAACTTGGCGGCAAGGCAGTCGGGCCTACATATGGCCTTAAAATGGAGGCAGTCAGTGCATTGATGGGTAGGGATATCCTGGAACCCAAACTAGACAATTTAGGGTGGATTAGTTTTGAACAAAACTGCATTTTGTGTTAAAACTGTTATTGAAGGACGGGTGCACTTTTGTGCTGTTCATGTGCACGTGACGTTTATTATAATAATATTGTGATGAAAACTATTAAAGAAGAAAAACAGATTGTCGGAGAGAGGTGGAGTAATTCATGTTCTGTTTCGGAGAAGGAGAAGGAGAAGGAGAAGGAGAAGGATGAGGAGAGGAGGAGGAGGAGAGTGAGAGATTCAACCTTACCGCATCACCGAATATAAGATTGGTCCTGGACGCATGACCGAGTTTAAGATTGGACCAGGATGCATGGGAAAATAGGGGATGATTCGTCCTTGTTTCACACTAGTGGAGATTAGAGTTCGCACTTAATATAAAAAATAAAAATAAATAGAACCGTTCTTCCAGAACTAGGTGAGAATCAAAAACAAAATAAATTGACTAAAGATGGGATGAATGGAGAAAGAAAAGGTTGGATGGAGTAGAGATGGATGGAGTAAGGATGAATTGAGTAAGGATGGATGAGTAAGGATGGATTGAGTTAGGATGGATTGAGTGAGGATGGATTTAGTAAGGATGGACGAGTGAGAATGGATTGATTAAGGATGGATTGAGTGAGGATGGATTTAGTAAGGATGGACGAGTGAGGATGGATTGAGTGAGGATGGATTGAGGGAGGATAAATTTAGTAAGGATGGATTGATTAAGGATGGATTGAGTAAGGATGGATTGAGTAAGGATGGATTGAGTTAGGATGGATTTAGTAAGGATGGATTGAGTGAGGATGGATTGAGTAAGGATGGACGAGTAAGGATGGATTGAGTGAGGATGGATTTAGTAAGGATGGACGAGTGAGGATGGATTGAGTGAGGATGGATTGAGGGAGGATAAATTTAGTAAGGATGGATTGATTAAGGATGGATTGAGTAAGGATGGATTGAGTAAGGATGGATTGAGTTAGGATGGATTTAGTAAGGATGGATTGATTAAGGATGGATTGAGTGAGGATGGATTTAGTAAGGATGGACGAGTAAGGATGGATTGAGTGAGGATGGATTGAGTGAGGATGGATTGAGTAAGGATGGATTTAGTAAGGATGGATTTAGAAAGGATGGATTCAGTAAGGATGGATTGAGTAAAGATGAATTTAGTAAGGATGGATTGAGTAAGGATGGATGAGTAAGGATGGATTGATTAAGGATGGATTTAGTAAGGATGGATTGATTAAGGATGGGTTGAGAAAGGATGGATTGAGTTAGGATGGACGAGTGAGGATGGATTGAGTGAGGATGAATTTAGTAAGGATGGATTGATTAAGGATTGATTGAGTTAGGATGGACTGAGTAAGGATGGATGGAGTGATGATGGATTAAATAAGAATGTGTTAAGTAAGGATGGAAGGATGGTAGGATGTTAGGATGTTAGGATGTTAGGATGAATTGAGTAAGGATGGATGAGTAAGGATGGATGAGTAAGGATGGATTGAGTAAGGTAAGGATGAATTGAGTAAGGATGGATTAATTAAGGACGGATATAGTAAGGAGGAATTGAGTAAGGATGAATCATGATTGAATGTTTAATTTCTATTCTATAAGATCTAATGAACTGACCTGGTACCAACGGAAGCGCAGATCAACCTTTACAATGTAAACTCTGTGAACGAGCGTTATTAGTAGATCTCAGACAAAATTTAATGAATTTGAAATGCATACCGACGGTTCAAAATTGAATCACCGATTCAAATCCTTCCTTAATCTCTATCTTTGAATCGGTGGTTCAAATTTGAACCAGCAGTAGACAGTTCAGCGACGTATCTCAAATACATTAAATTTGGTTCTGGATTATTTATGCCTACATATGTTTATAGTAATTTTTAGTATTTTTATTAGCTTTAAATGTGATTTTTAATGAAGATTTAATATAGGCCCTTCATTTAAAAGAGCCATAATCGACTCACACTTTTATAAAAAAAAGTTTATGAATTTTTTTTTCTTCATGTTCACAACCTAAGATAATCTTAGAACTTTTAAATCTTTTTTTTCCCCCCAACATATTATTTACTTACAATCTGTTATGTCAAACTGTGATATTCTGTTGTATTTTATTGGAAATTGAAAACAAATTCCTTTGTTCACTCTAGCTAGTCTAACACCTAAATAACTATTTAAAGGAATTGTTCATGTAAATAAAATACACCTGCTTTTTCTGCTGACTTCAAGTTCATCCCATTTCCAAAATAAAGTTGTTTCTAACTGTGATTCAAGGCAAGAAATATTGTTAAATTAGGCCTGATTATCAAAAAATGTATTATATCTGTCAAATGCGGAAAAAATCACTTTATTCTTGAAAACTTGTTAAATGAAGATAGAATTGTGCATTAAAAAAATAATGTTCATGGTTCAAAGATCTCTTTATACTGTTTAATTAATAAAGAAGATTTTGTTTCTTATTTTTTATTAAATAAAATTTTTTGGTTTTCGAATCACTGTGATTTGAGAAATAAAGCTGCATGTTAGTGAATTCAACACTTTTTATATATTATCTCCATTTTATTAAAACAGTCTAGAATTTTACCAATGACAAAGGAAGGATCGATCATGTGAAGATTGCTATATTCTCATTTTATTCAAACCTAATATACAATTTTACTCTTGAGATAAAGATTTAAAGGGTTACCCTCAAAGGATGAGAATTTAAAGACCCTTAAAAATGGTTAAACTAAGTCTGTTTCCTTTAATAAAATCTGTTAATAGCTTATTTACAAATTTGACAAAGCAAAATAATTTTACTGGTTAAGTATTAGTTTCCATTATGCGTATAATGTCGTCGCCTTTTTAATAACATCCTTTGTGGGTAACCCTGTAAGTTGAATGCTAAACGTGAGGTTTTCTTTAGATGGTTTACACTATACTAGTATACATACATTATCCTGTTTTTACTAAAAGCCTAAACAAGAATGGTGTTGTAAATAATATGTATTTGAAGCTAGTTAGTTAAAGGGCGAAGAGGGAAAACGAGGGCCGGAAATGGAGAATATTTTTTATCGGAGAAATATTTTTAAGGTTGATAAATTGGAAAAAGAATTTTAAGTTTTTTTTTAAATTAGTCCCCTTGCCCCGTCCCCTTTCTTTAACAAACTAAGCCCCTATTTAGGCGCGTGGCGAAATCACGATTTTTGCCGTAAATTTCGCAGTCTTATTGCAAAATCGTGATGTAGTTGGTTTTTATTCAAGATTACTGAAGACTATCGTAGGATTAGTATACCCGGAGAGATTTCCGTCCTGTTCTAGGTACACAGATATACATGAAACTTAAATATAGGGTTTTTTTAATCCTAGAACCAGGAGCAAACACACTTTAATCTAGATATATAACACGTCAAGTTAAAGTGAATTTCACGTTAGATTGAAATCTTGTCAGTTTTCAATCCTCTTATTCAAGAGCTGTTGAGACGAATAAAAATGTGTTGAATTTATAAATAAGTAACATAATTGATTAGTCAAATATTCAATTAGTAAATATGCTAAGATAAAATAAATTATTTAATTATTATATTAATTATTTAATGAATTAATGCATTTATGAATTTATGTATTAATGAGTTAATGCACTATTCAGTTATTTAATTAAT